GAGAAACACTGCAAATGAGTATGGACTCATAGGGGTGATTTTCTGTTAGGCATGCTTAGCTGGCCACAGGCTTTATTCAAACAGATAACTGTATATAATCTAGGTGGAAGTTTTGCAAGACAGGATTTATGTAACAGAAAACAAAGTACCAGAACAGTAAGTGGTAGAGAAGGATATTATTTTCATCTCAGACCATGAAATATGAGTTGAGAAGGTGGAATATGAAGATATTAGAGAACATATTATTTGCTGGAACTGTCACAACAAAGTACACAGATTGAGTGGCTTAAACAATAGAAACGCATCATATTATCAGTTATGGAGGTTAGAAGTCCTACATCAAGTACTACTAGAGTTGATTTCTTCTAATGCCTCTCTTTTTGGCTTGCAGATGAGTGTCTTCTGTAGTATTTTTGCATTGTCATCTCTTTGTTATCTGTGTTCTCCTCACTTCTTCTTACAAGGATTCCATTCACATTGGATTGGAACTCGAAATATGAATTCTAATTTATTTTAATGAAAGTGCCTTTTTAATGATCTCATATCCAAATACAGGTAAGCTGGTTTTAGTTACAAGGGTTAAGGACTTCAACATACACATTTTAGAAGAGCACAATCATTCCTTAACAAGAAAGTTAAGAGAAAAATACAAAGTGGAAGCCAATAATTGAGATTTAGGAATTGAAGTTTTCAAAGGTCAGGTTCTAGATTATGACTGTGGTGGACTAATTAGTGGTCAACTTCACTGGGAATGCACAGCTGAAATGAATCAGCATGGTTCTGGATGTGAAAGACCACCTGAGTATTATTACCCAAACAGCATAAAAAAGTACAGGGAAAGGGGGAAGACTGCATGCCTTTGATTTTCCTGCTGCAGCCTGCCCCAGATGGTTTTCCTGATATGAACGTGTCTGTTCTTGCCAGGCATGACTGCTGCTTTCTTCAGGGGAGCACCTTGAGTGTCGCTTCCCGGCTCCAGTGCAGATCCCTTAGCCTTCTGATGTAGATCCTTCACCAAGCTGGCACAGACTTTCTAGCTTCTACTACTGACCTCTGGACCTACCTGATGCAGATCCTTGATATGGATTTGAATGAGACTTCACCACAGGCTTTAGGCTTTGGACTGGACTTCTGTGGAACATTGCCATGGGATCCAAGGCCTTAGATGTATTATTTAAGTTTCTAGCACACAGACAGATCTCTTGCACTCCTCTACATTTTATTGTTTATCTGAATATTATAAAATAATCCTATAAGTTATGTGTCCTGTATTAAATCTATTCCCATGCAAACCTTAACAAAGACCAAAGATGGGTTTCAGGGGTAACAAAAAAGAAGAAAACATTAAAACATTTTGTGATTAAGAGATTAAGAATGCAGATATGAAATGAACTGTGCTTTTGAATATTGAAGCCAAAAGAGAAAAATGCAGTAAATCACAGAAAGTAAGTTCTAAAATCTCCCATTAATGCATGAGTGAATGGAGAAAAGGATAGTGAGCAGAAGGATGACAGAGAGCTGAAAAGAGGTGGGTATCACGTATCGCAGTCAGATGACAGGATGAGAAGAGAAAACAAAGAGAAAGAAATGGTAAGCAAAGGCAAAACAATCTTACTTACAAGCCCTGGAGTACACAGTGCACAAGAAAAAGAAGAGCCATCATTTAAGAAGTAGGGGAATGGGTGGGGGGAGTGGAGAAGATGGTGGATAGATAACAGCATCTACGGAGACTCTCTGAGATAGCCAGCTTAGATTCCAGGAATGGCGCGGTGTGGGGAGTCCTAAGCAGGGGGAGATATACCCTGCTGACCCAGTAACAACTAAGCTGAGAGAAACCAATCGGAAATGCAATCCCAGTGCTACAATTTGAACAGCTAAAGTCTCCATGCCGACGCTGTAACCCGTGACTTGAATTCCCTGCTGCTGCTGTGTCTGAATGCGCACAGCAGAGATAGAGACCTGAACGCTCTGAGAGCGAGAATCCACGAACCAAATTGAGAGCAGAGATGGAGGGGAGGCCTGCAGTGACCTGCGGTGAGTGAGAGGACCCTTCCATAGAATAGGAGGCTTTAACAGAGGACATTCTGGGACCCGGCAGACTGGCTGGAACAGGGCGCTGCAGTGACTTCAGTCATGTATTCCCCTCTCAAGCGGGATTGGTGGGGAGCACTTGACCTGAGTGATGCCACAGACTGAGGCCCAATAGGCTAGCCCAAACCAAGTCCCTGCACCTGGCAGTGCACCCTAAGGCAGTGAAGCCTTCAGCAGGTTGACTGACCTGGAGGAGGATGCCATGATAGGTCACCCTGGTCTGTGTCTCCCTAGTACACTGCAGTGGGCAGGAACACCTAGCCAGCATGATTCAAATAAACTATAACCCAAAAAGAAAGAAACTGGGCCTCCTATATACGCCTGTATGGAAGGAACAAAAAATATGAGAAGAGGAGGCAACAAGAAAGGGTCCTTGGTCCCCAATCCTGAGAACACTGATTCAGGAAAGGTAAATGCAAAGGAGAATGAGGCCAGAAAACATGCAGTTTCAGGCATGGCACCAATAGACATAAAGCAATATCTCCAGGACCTCATAGATGAGATCAAAAGTGAAATATTTAACCAAGTAAAGCAAGATATAAGTAGAATAGTCAAAGAAATGCTAAGCACCTCCCATGAAAAAACAGATGGTGGAATGGAAGAACTGAAAGAAAGGAGAGAATTGTTTGATAGATAAAATAGAGAAAACATAGAATACATGAAGCAGGTTCTGATTATCTGAACTGGATTATCTGATTATCAGATTATCTGAACTGGAGTACAGATTTGTAAGGTGGGACCGTGAAAGGAAAAACTTCTTAAAAATAACAAGAAAACAAGCAGTAACAATACAAAGGCTAGAAGATGGTAAGAGAATCTATAACTTAAGAATAAAGAATGTGAGAGAAGAAGAAGGGGTACAAACAAAGGAACTGCAAAGGCTATTCACAAAAATAATGAGGGAAAACTTCCCAAACATAGGAAAAGGGAAAGATGCTCAGATGTATGAGGCATATAGAACTCCAGCCACCTACAATCAAAACAGAACTACACCCAAGCATATAATAATCAAGACTCCAGAAATCCAATACAAGAACAGAATATTAAAAGCTGTCAGAGACAAGAAACAGATAACTTACAAGGGAATGTCCATCAGAATTACAGTAGACTTCTAAGCACAAACCATAAAAGCTTACAGAGCATGGGGCAAAATAATCCAAGCTTTGAAAGACAATAACCTCCAGCCAAGATTGATATATCCTGCACACTTGTCCCTAGAAATTAATGGAGAAACAAGGTGCTTCCAAGATAAAGTGGAACTAGGGGAATTCGCAACCACCAATCCAACTCTATAGAAAATACTGCAGGACATTCTAAAGAGAGAGAAAAGTACCAGGATCCCAGAAACAATGGCAGACAGGCCTCAATGAGTGGAGCAGAAATCAAAATGAAAAAGACAAACAGACAACTAATGACAGAAAAAGAGCACAACAGAAACGACGCAAAAAAGGTTGGATATAATTTCTAATATAGATGGCCTAAAAACACTAACTTAAGGGAAAAAGAGAGAATCACAAGCAGAGTGGATCAAGAGGTAGGGTCCACCATCCACCAAGAGGCTCTTTATAGGAAATATAATTAGCCTGAAGAAGATTATATAGACCAAAATCAAATATGAGTAAATGGAACTCGAAGTGATAGGGAACCAAGGAGTAATAGAGGGCCAGTATTTATGGAGAGGTTGAACATACAGACTTTAATAAATAAAGAAGTATAACTAGAAATCTAACCCAGGAGAGAGAAAGTATAGAAATACTTAGGTAATAGCAGGTTGCCCCCCCCCAATATAAAACTGTGAGTGCTGGGGAGACCCGAAAATACACAGTTCATTCTGGGGGAGTAATAGTCTTCAAAAAAAAAAACAGCAGAAGATATAGCTAATAGTGTATCAGGAATTAAAACCCTTATTACTCACACCACTCTGCTTGGTTGGAACTTGTTCCATCCTAGTTTACATACAAGCACTGGATGTGAGGGCACAGACAGCTGTCCTGAAGATATCAGGACATAGCACAGTGGTCATCTTTAATTTCCTATTAACTCAATCAGGATCCCTGTAAGACTTATACTGTTATATCATGACTGATCTTAATTAAATCTAACTTGTTTGATTGTTGCTTATTATTGACAGATTTTATTCAAAACTGTTAGGTTGCTGGTATCAAATTGAGGAGTTTGACAACTATACTAAAAATGACAATTATTCACCTCGATATTCATTGTGATTTGATTACTATCTGTGTTTGTAGCTCTACACTATCTACAAAGTTGTATTTCTGTTAATTCTGTTATGTACTGATATGTTCAATTATTCTTTATCTGATGATATAGCCAATTCGGTTGATGATAGCAAGAAACAGCACAGTAACCATGGTAGAACTACTTATACAGCAGTTTTAGATGTCTTTTTAGTTTTATGTATCTATAAGAATATGTTTAGTTCTGTCTTGTTTTGTTCTGTTTCTCCCTCTAATATAGAAAAGATAGAAATACTTGTTAAGACTCATGCTTGCATAAAACCTATAAACAGTTTATGAGAACAGATCTTATGACACATGATGAAATGAACAAATACTTTGAAGGTAAGAAAGGGGCACTGCAGTACCCAGTGCTGATTCCGGAGTGTTATGATGTGAAATCCAACAATATTATTAATCTTTGTTCAGAAGGATATTAATTTAATAAGTTGTGTTAGCTCTCAACATAAATGAAGATGTGGATAAATGTGTACATGACTAAGTGTATAGGATTGATACTCATATTAATAAGTTTTTGTTGGATAGTTGAACAAAATATCACTTTTGCACTAAACCCTTTGCAGTCTCCCTCATTGAAATCCCATTTATATGTTCCACTTTTGTATCTTGAACAATTATTTGTGGGGGGACAATAAGTAGAAAATCAACTAGTGATTTATTACTGTTTATTTCTTTTCTTTGAAAGTATACAGTATTTCTGCCTGTTTTCTATTCTCCCCCCATTCTCTTTTATCTTTCTCTAAATAAGAAAAAAAAAATAAGTAGGGGAATGCACTGGCCACAAAAAAGCCAAATTTTATTTGGAGCAAGAAGTTGAAGAACAACAGAAGATATTGAAGGTATGGGAAGTTTTTAATGACTAAAATAAACATTACTAGGAAAGGCCAATTTGGTTCTCTCTTTTCAACCACATAGAAGACAGAATTTCTCAACATCATTGTTCTGGGGATTGAACTCCTGACCCTGCACTTGCCAGGCAGGCACTTGTATCTGCTGAGCTAAACCCCTACCCTACACCATTGTTCTTTTAAGCAAAGCCATCTGAATATTTCCAGCAAAGAATGGATACCACTTCCAACTGAGGCTATGTGGGGCCCGTGCATAATTCCCCCATTTCACTCTGCCTGCTGAGGTCACCATGAAGGCTTCATTTCCAAATGTTTTTCAGTAGACGGCTGTAGAACCTCTTTCAGCTTCATCTCTTGAGATTACACGGTATGGACGCCTGTGGAATATAAAGTATAAATGAAAAGCAAGTCTTTATTTTCTAAGGGACAAATAGTGCTTTGAGTGACAGAGAGAGAAATTTGTGATTTGCTACCACAGCCTCTTTGACTTATATACACATCGTGAATTCCAGAATGGAGAGGGAAAGACATCATGATTGATCAGGGAATCTGCACAGCCACATTAAGGATGTGAAAATAAGAATAGTGGATAAGCTGTGAGGCTTGGGCTTCCTGAGGTGACCGAGTAAAGTGAAAGTGCAGAGCTTGATGGCATCTTGGAGAAAGATAGATCATCAGTATAACTATAGCTTTCATTAATGGGCCCCTTGGGCACTTTGAGGTGTAAAGATGGGGACTGTGGTTAGACGTGAGGGCCAGGGGGGATGCCACCACAGCACACACAGCTCTACAACTGGTCTTCCCATCTGCAATATCCTGTCACTAGCAAAAGGAAAACATTGTCATGATTTTAATTTTTAGGGGATTATTATAGGAAAAATTCTCCTTGGAACACATACTGGAAAATTCAGGCTGGAGGGCATGTTGGGTTATGTTTTTGTGTGATTTAATATCTCTACAAAGCATCCCCTGAAAACTAGAAAATGTGACAAAACCATGAAAAATTTGTGTGTTGAGAAGCTAATTCACCTGGCAGATGCTCTCACAGGTAGGTCTTTTTCTACTTAAAAGGGGAAGCTTCCTAAGCAGAAGACTAAGCTTTCATTTTATTTATAAAGGCTAAAAGTGAAAGAAATGGGAACAAAAGAGCACATAAAAGCAATTATCCAATGCCTATGTCTCTTGGCTGAACTAAATCAGATGTTAAAGGGCAAATAAGTCCAGAGGATACAAGCCATGTGTCATAGCAGAAAAGACAAAGGAAGGAAACAGAGCATACAAGAAAAGGAAATAGATGGCAATGAAGCCAAAAAGGCTAAACCTCTAAACAGAAGACTTGAATCGGGAAGGAGAGACGCAGCAGTATCTGGACACACGCTAGGAGCCTAGAGCGAGAACTGCCTTAAGTGAACAATGAATATGCTTAGAAGAGGAAACAGAGTCATAAAAGAAAAATGGAATAAAAAAGAGACAGGAAAATTGGGAAATTCTAAAACCATCCAGAAACTCTAAGGCCTCCCAACTTCTACCCAATATTTAAACCACATTCCAAGAAAGGAGTTAGGAGACAGTAGATCCAAAAAAAAATACTGATGGAAAAATGGGGAAAGGTGACACAGCAAAGCAACACGGGCTTTGGGAGTGAGCCAAACTTTCTCTAATACTTGGTTTTGGCACTGCTGAGTCAACAATGATGCCTTCTGTGTTCTTCATTCTCATCTGTAAAATGGCGATGACAGGTACAGTCACTGTTTTGCATTGTTGAAAGGATTAAATGAAGTATTAGCTATAAGGAATCAGCCAAGTCTATGCTACATAGAGAACACTGCAAGAAAGACTAGCTTTCACTTCCAGTTAGCATCACTGAAATGCTGAGGTATCTGTGAAAAGCTAAGGAATATTCACCTGCCTCAGTATGCAAAAGGTTTATTGGCCTTACTTCAACTTAGCTTAATGCCTATTCAACTCCATAGCAAATTCAGTTCAAGGTTCATACACAGAGTAAATACTCTGTTTTGCTAATATCTAAATAAAGAACACTTGCAATGATTCTGAGAAATGGTGAATATCACTTTTGCACTGAACCCTGGTAATCATCGAATTGTTAGCCTGTAGTTGAGGCCAAATGGAATTCTTGATGATACCAGCTTCTTCTCCTCCCAACAGGAAGAAAACTTGAAGATCTGTGTTCAGCAGTTTAAGTGTCTCTCTCTTTACAAAAGTTTTAAACTTAAAAGTGTCACTATTTGTGCAGACAAAACAAGGAGTAAAGCCGGATGATCTGCGCAAATCGAGCCTCCTGAGCCCTTCATTAAGCCTTTCCTTTCCAGAATGAAGCTCTTAGAGCACAGGACGAGTGCCCACTCTGCTGGGTATAGCTGGTGCACAGCAAAATCTAACACAGATAGCTATTAGTGGACTGGTGAACTTTGGAAAATGGATAATAGTTTCTGATTTCTGCATATTCATATAAGCTGTGCTACCTTTTTTTTTTACATCTTTGATTCAGAAAGCCTTGTTATTAGGCCATGCTGGGACTCAGGAAGCTTATTCACCCGCCCTCTTGGTAAGCACTTGTGGAGAGGGCCAGGAGGAGAACCAGAACTCCCTCCCGAGATCCTCTGGGGCCATGGTGGGACTCAGGCAGCTTATTCACCTGCCCTCTTGGTAAGCCCCTGCGGCATGGGCCTGGAGGAGAACCATTACCTGTAAGCCTACTGCCACGTGGGCTGAAAATCAAGTATACCTCCCCCGCCCCCGCCATAGCTACTGGGGATAGATGTCTCAGATCTCTTTGGAGGATGACCATATGCAGTATAGCAAATATGGGGGATTTTCTTCTATCTTCTGTTTTAAGGCAAAGGTTGTTTTCACTGTTTTGTTATGTTTCTTTTGCTCTATTCAGTATTATCAATTGGTTTTATAATGTTCTATTTTTGGTTTGATTTTGCTATACCTAATTGACTGGACAACTATTGTGAAATTAAAGAAATATACCATAGGACTTATTACTACTATCCCAGTATCCTACTGTGAAATCCTGTACCAGTTTCATCGCATTGTCTCGACTGGCTTTGTTCTGTCTTGTCCTGTTCCATTTTTACTACTTTCAAAATAAAATTAAAAAAAAAAAATAGCAGTTTCCTATAATGCCCCTCAAGTATTCACTTTAAAATTCTTTCAGTTGTTTTGCTCTATATTTCTAAGTAATAAGGTCACAGAATTTATTGTTTTTTTTTTTCATTTTCAGACATTATCTTTTGACTGCCTACTACAGAAAACAAGGCAAAACAGTGTCTACTTAAGAAAATACAAATATATACCCCCTCCCCAAAAAAAGAAAGCCTTGTATTTGATTAGTTATATCCTAGGTCATGCATGAAAAAAAGGCTTGAGCTTACAAACATGAAAAGATATTTTCAGAGAGCTGCCCAAACAAAACGCTACAGACTTGGAAGTTAAAACAATAGAAATGTATGTTCTCATGATGCTAAAGCCTAGACAGTCAAGACCAGGTATTAACAGGGTTTTTTTCCTTCTGAGTGTCATGTTGGATGAAACTGGATGGTCTCCTTCCTTGACTGTTTTCTCTTTTCTCTCAGTGTCTTCACATTGGCTCTCCTTGTTCTGTGTTTCTGTCCAAATTTTCTCTTCTTATAAAAACAGAAAACATATTGTGTTAGAACCAATCATATTTCTCATTTTAACAAAATTACCCCCGTAAAGATTCTCTCTCCAAATAAGATGATATTTGAGAATAAGAATTCATCATAAAGAATGGCAGGTAAGAACCCCATTCAGCAGATGACTGATGCATTCTTTATTTTGGAATGCCCATCTTTAGTTGTTTACTGAGATGCTCCCAAAAAATCCTAGGAAGGCAAAACTTTTGTTGCTCTCTATCACTTACTTAGAGTTCTGTTTTCTAGCAATGAGCTCACCTTTTTTATACTCAAACTGTATTCACAACCAGTTCTCTGTTAAGGGAATATTAAGTTCTGGCCATCTCCTCTGCCAGAAAATTAGAGAGTTGCTATATATGTTCAAAATCCTGTAGAAAGAGAAATTATTGTAGCTCAATTCTTACAAAAGCCATACATGAATACAGAGGAAAATGCTAGTGAAGTAACAAGACAAGTTCATTTCAGAAGGAATGGGGCTGGGGTGTGGTTTGGAGATAGAATGTTTGCCCATTTCAGAATGAACGAAATGGTTAGTTATCCACATGCTCTCTATCTATACTCTTTTATTTGTCTCTCTAATTCTCAAAAGACAAATTTCTTTTTCACAGGACTTTGTTCTTTTTTTCCAACCTACACTGGTTCCCATGGACCAGACATTGAGAAAAGAAAATTCACATGCAAAAGCAAATTTTCTACTTAAATCATATTATCAACTATTAAACAAAGAGGCAGAAGCATCACAAAGCATTGTATTGCTAGTCTGCTAATTCAATGATATTTACACAGTGTTATTAAGAGCCACTTAGCTACCAAAATAACACTCCACTTGCACATGGCATCCATTTCAACTGAGCTCATAAAATGTACTCACTTGCTGCAGATCAGTCGCTTGTGAAGTTTAGGATCAATTTCTGCCTCTGCCTGAGCAATGTCAGAAAGATGATGGAAGGAAGAAATGTGGAGCCTTTCGCTCTTCTGTCCTTTGCTTTCCATATATAGTCAACCTCCAAATTCTTTTGATGCTACCAAGCTCATTTTATTTATTAGCTCATTCACTGATCAGCTCACTATCATATACTAGAAAGTAAACTAAGCGTTAGGGAAGTAAAAGCAAATAAATGGTCCCTTCTGTCAAATAACTCATAGCATAGATAGAAGGCAAAGTCAATTATTAACTACAGCAATAAGGGTCAAGGCAGATCTATATTCTGGGTGTTTGGGAAGCTCAGAAGCAATATTCCTAAAGAGCATTTTAAAGGACAAAAGAATTCATTAGGGGCCAGATTTGGCAAGGGAAAGAAGACAGGCATCAGGGTGGAGAGATAAATCAAAGAATGTGAAAAAGGATATACATGAAACTGCTTAATTTAATTGGGAACAGCCAAATTGTGGGATGGCTGAGCAAAGTGTATTACACATTGGCAGGATATAAAATTATATAGTGAAGTAGGGAACAGATCGGAGACCAGGTTATATTTGAAGTTGTGAGTGACTCATTAAAACTTTTCAGCAACGAGGCAATTTGATACCTTTCCTAGAAGGCCTGTTCTTGGTGCATGACATGCATTAGATTGAATGTATAAGTGCTAGAATGCTGAGAGAGGGAAATCAGATAGGAGGTATTGAATGAGTATGAAGGAGAAAAAGTGAAAATTATGTCAGCCTACAATCTCCATTCTCCCCAACATCAATTA